AAGCAGAAGGATTGCTTTGCTTTTGGAGGTGGAGGTGGAGGTAATACTGTCAGCGAATCAGAGGTGGAGCAGCAGGACAGGCGGAGACACGTTGACCAGTGGAACCTGAAACGACCCGGCATCATGGAGACAAATCCTGAGGCTGGGAAAGGACAGAGGAACACTTAAAATAACACTAAATACTTAACAGAGGTGGAAAAAGAGACCGTGAACACTTAAAATAACACTTAACAGAGACCGTAGAGGGTCCCTCCGTCCTTTTTTAGCCGTGACGTAGAAGAAAACGAACCACGGGACAACAAGGTGAGAAGGCAGCTGATGATTTAACATTTAAAAAATGGAGGAAATGATGGAAACCGTCACAACAACCTAACATGGATAAATGAGACACTTCTGGTTCAGAGACTGTCGTGAAGTGGTCGTCATTGTATAGAGATCTGTAGTATATCTGTGTTTATCTGCAATAGACTATTTTCTGCAACTTTAAACGTGTCCTATTCTTTTGATAAACCTGTCTTTCATGTTTACCTTAAAGGGAAACCTTAAGAGAGGCTGCTAACAGGATTTTAATAGACTCTGAAAATATAAATAATATTTTGTGCCTCTTAAACGTATGATTTGTATAACTTCATACTACTCATGTTTACTTTTACTTACAACTTATTAGCCTTTTCTGGGCGTAGAGAAGTTAGAAGTGTCCCTTTTTCTGGTATAATTGGATAGCAAAAGGATTCCCCTCACCATGCTCCTTCCTCTGCTATGTTTTCATCAGTAGGTTTGATTTTATTGACAGGGAAATGTTACTGACTAGCATCAAGAAGCCGTATTCAAACTAAGACTGGTTGCAGCTCCTTGTCCAGTTATAGTAGTTAAAGCAGGCAAATCAAGTATGCAAATCAAGGAAGCAAATTCAAGGCAAATACAAAAAATAAAGACTTGAGAAGATCCAAACTACTCTTTTGGAGTACAGAACAATAGCAAAAATTACTTTCCCATTTGTATGGAGCAAATGTGAGTCAAAAAAATCTGGTGACCAAAATGTTGCACTATAAAGCAGCTCATGTAGCCTACCTCTCGATATCACACCCCTAACACTCTCAATATCTACTTTCCAAAACACAGAAAACAACAATATAGGCTTGTCAAGAAGGTGAAATACTTGATGTGATTATTTGCAGTTTAAATCTGCCCAAAACAGACAATATTTGTGAGTTGTTATAGTCTTTTAAAGGATGTGGAACACTCCGAATCCATTTCTTTTGAGTTAGCTATAACACAAATCTAAACTATGGGAAGATCCAAACCACTCTGGTTGAGTACAGAACAACAGCAAGAAAAGACAATTTGCTTTAAATGTATTCCCATTTGTATGGAAGTCTTTAAAAGTAAATGTGATATAAAATAATCTGATGCCCAAAATGTTGGACTAGTCCTTTAAAATGTCAGCCTATATCAGGATATTGTACTCTTAACACTCTCAAAATCTAGTTTCCAAAATACAGAAAACAACAATATAGGTTTGTCAAGAAGGTAAAATACTTATCTTAGTACAAATCTGCCCAAAACAGCCAATATTTGTGAGTTGTTATTGTCTTTTTTAAAGGATGTGGAACACTCCGAATCCATTTCTTTTGAGTTAGCTATAACACAAATCTAAACTAATGGTATTTTTACCAGTTTTTCATTTTCCTCAGCATATGTAGCTCTGTTTGACATAAATATAATGACAACTGCTCTGGAAATAGTGAGTAAGAAGACCTTTTATTAAGATGTTTTTAGTATCCATGATATTAATGATTCTAACTTAGGTTTTTAAATCAGTTTGAAACATTCCAGGCAGGAGTTTATCAGCCGTGAAAATTGAATTAAAGCACATTAATATAATTGGTTCTAAGTGGCTGTTAACAAAACAACAGCCAATAAATGTGACTGTGACAGTTAACTGTGACGAAGGAAAGCTAACACACAAAGCATTTAACACGGAGGGCGTCTTTCTGTTTATTTAGAGACAGAATATATAACCGATAGCATGTAGCCTAATGTTCATACTTATGCATTTTGTATCTACTACAGTGAGTTATGGATGGTTGTCAGTCATACGTTGGTGTCGTCTTAACAATATTTGTTTTTTTACAACTTCAAAGCATTTATGAATGTATTAATTTCCCCCTCTGTTGTGCACTTATTAAACCACTTTCCTTCCTTTAAAAAGAAAAAGGAAAATTGGTTTATCATCCATGATTAGATTCCTATATTTACTGATTCTGGTTATAGTGCTTTACCCGTCATTAACTTTCATCAGATGCTTTTTGGATGAGTTTGAAATGGGAAACCTCCTTGGACATGGGAAGTCTTTCAAAAAGCAGGTTAGGTGATGGTGGAGAACATGCAAATATCTATTTAGGACCATTTTATTCTCACTTTAATGTCTATTTACTTAAAAGTAAGTAATGAACACGCTTTTTTAATAGAAGACATTTTGCCTTTGGTGCTAGCATGTTGCAGCATTTAATAAGACTTTTTGATTTACTAAGTTTTTGATGAAGTTTAAATTAGCTGCTTTTAGTCTTTGTTTAGACACTGTATGTCTAGTTATTATTTTAAATAATTATAATGGTGTAATACTCATCAGTTGAATTCATTAACTAAGTCATTGGATTTCAACTTTATGGCTTGCAACCCCTTGAAATGAATGGTATCTTCTTGCAACCCATCGTCAGTCGTTGCATGTTAAGGATGCAGCTAATGATTATTTTCAGTCTTTGAATATTAGAAAATTGTGGAAAACATCCATCCTATTTTCTAGGAAATGTCTTGAATTTTCAGTCCAGAATCTAAATATATCCAGTTTAATGGGATATAAAATAGAAAATCATGAACAATCCACATTCAAAAACGCGGAAAACAACATTTTATACAATGTTTACTTTTCAGAAATAAGGTTAAACTCTCCTTGCTTTTGAAATACTTCCCATGTCCTCTTATGCTTGTGACCAAATCGTTATCACTATGTGCGCACTTTGAACAGTTTGATAGCACGAAGGGAAGGAGCTCTTACAAGTGACCTGCTTTGTTATCAAGAAAAAGTCAATGCATTAATATGTTAGTGCAATTTCGTACCAGTAATTCAAGAAGTGAAACTCCATATTTCATGTTTTCCCAGTCATTTGCACTTTCTGTCTCACTGCTGTTACTTTATTTACAGTCTCACCCTTTCATCTTAATGCTGGAGTACATTACTTGAATCCAGATTAATTCAAAAATAGTACGCCTGTATTGTTAAATGTTTTGTATTTTAGTGCCAAGAGAGGAGCTGTCATACTGTAGGCAATAGAAACCAAAACGATTACATTATGAAATGTATTTTTTTGTATTTAATAGAGAGGACTAGTGAGAGGCATTCAATATAATTCCAATTACTGGGGCTGAGTTTTAAAAAAATAGTGTTAACTGTGCAGTAGAGAAGCCTGTGTCCTGATGTTTTTAGCCTCATACATTCATTCAGATCATCCATACAGAAAATGATACCGTTTATATAATCTTGGTCATATTTGAGGATCAGTTAATATCTTGTATTATTTGTAAACACTCAAAGAAAGCACTTAATTTGTCCATGTGTAATTAGTTATAACCTCAGTGTTATAAATCTGTACATTTAAAATGTTACTACTTGTTTTTTAGAAGTTACGTGCTGCTATTCCGTAGTACCAGCATTGTTATAACCACAGATGATTAAAAGTTTAATTAATGGTCGTTCTGGGCTCTGTGTCTTCATTAACCATGATGTGGGGAATGAACGTGTCAAATACTGTGAAGGTCCTGAAATCAAAATGTTACTCAAGTAAAAGTATTATCATCAAAATATAGTGAAAGTAGCGACAGTAAAAGTAGTCATTGTGCAGATTGGTCCATTTCAGAATAATATATATGATATGTTTTATAATGATTGATCATGAAAGTGTTCTCAAAGCTGGTAAAGGTGCAGCTAGTTTGAATGACTTTGTATACTGCAGGGTAGCTTGTGAATTTACTCCAGGTGGAACTACAGTCTGATTTAACACTTGATTATATTTCACATCATTCATCCACATCTGTGAAGTAACTAAAGGTGGAGTGGAGTACAAGTACACTATTTACCTCTGAGTTGCACTGGAGTAGAAGCACAAAGTAGCATAACATGGACATTCTCAAGTAAAGTACAAGTATCTCAAATTGTACTTAAGGACAGTACTTAGACAGTTACTTTACATCACTGACCAGATTGTCCTGTTACAGCGACAAAATGAATCAAACAGCCCTCCCTGTCTTGTTGTGGAGTAGAAAAGTACAAAGTAGCATAAAATGGAAATACTCAAGTAAATAATAATAATAATACATGGGATTTTTATAACATGGGATTTTGTATATCTATCTAGATAGATAGATAGGCAGGTAGGTACTGTAGGTAGGTAGGTAGGTAGGTAGGTAGGTAGGTAGGTAGGTAGGTAGGTTGGTAGGTAGGTTGGTTGATAGATACTTTATTGATCCCAATTTGGGAAATGTTTGCGTTGCAGGAGCATAAAAATTAAGGCAAGAGAAATTAAGACACAAGAAATAAACAGTCCAAAATATTTCTGAAATAGAAATAAAATAGCATTAAAAGGTTAAAAAAAATATATATATATACACATGTGGAAAATATACATGTGGGAATACAAATTTCCAGTAACAAATATAATGCAGGATATTATTGTGCAAGAAATTGATTATTCAATATTAAATTGAATATAACTGTAAAATGTACAGTGTCCTAATCCAAGTAAAATGGGGTAACATGGGGGGGGGGTGGGTAAATCTACTTAGATACTTCACACCTGAAAATATGTATAAAAATGTCATAAAAACATGATTTGAGGAATAGATAAATCTCTGCAGGTGTTGTTATTGAGTGAGGCTCTAACTCTCACAGGTGTAGTTCCCTGCTCCGCTGATAGGGGGCGGTGTGTTTCTCCACGCTGTACAGTAACATGGCGGTCTGATGTAAGCAGAATGTGAGTTTCAGAAACCGGAATCAGGTTCAAACAAGGCGGCGGGGACTGTCAATATTGTACCGTACGGGAAAGAATAACGACTACACACAGATGCCCGTTATTTGTCCACGGCTCCGGTGATATTACACGGATTACTGCCCGGTAGCAGATTTGGGACTCGATCCCGTGTGACCGGATTCTAGTTTCCCCGGACTCGGTACGAGGTTTTTCAGCCTTCGCCACCGGACCGGGAAGCCTCAGATACAAGAAGGGTGAGCTTTTAAAGGCTATCAGTATTATTATTTGTGACGTTTATCGGTTACCGGACGGTTTTAGGAGTCACTTAACGGCAGTAAAGGATGCACCAACGGCCACTTTAGCCTGTTAGCATTAGCTGTGTGATGCTAGCATGATAGCTGACGAGTCACCGGGAAAACACATGTGAAACAAAACAATTGTAACTTGATATGTATTATCCTTTTAACATATGCCGAATTGATAAGTGGTTAAAATTCATTCGAAATTAATAGTTTATATCTAGTTAATAGTCCATTTACCCGTGAAATATACAAAATAGCATAGAATTATCACTATACTGAACGAGAGTTGCTTATTATTCTCAGAAATCGGCAAAACAAATGCGAAACAAAAGTATTAAAACAATTGTTAATTTAATATGTATGATACTATAAACATATGCCGAATTGATAAGTGGTTAAAAGTCATCAGACATCTTTATCTATTAACTCATTTAAACTTGAAAGTACTGAAGATAGCAAAGAATTATCATAATACTCCACGAGATTTGGTTTAATATTCTCAAACAACGCGATATCATGCCTGGCTCTTAAGCTCCACGTTTCCTTACAACATATTTGTACTTAGAATATTGACTTAGTAAGCTTTCAGGTGGTTTAAAATACAATAAAGACGTCGCTTGCAATGTTGTTGAATTGTGTCTGTCAGTCCAGAGACACTGAGCTACTATGATGAAATATTACTGTATGTGTCACTGTATACCTCTTTAAGAAATGAATCCTCAATTGTTTGTACTATATTCTCAGATATCATACTTCTCAGATGTGGTTTGGTTGATTTAAACGTTTCATGGACGCTATATCTGTCTTCATTTTGGTTTATTCTCTCAGTAGGAGCTCATCCAGAGTGATAAACTTGCTCCATACATGAGGAGGCTCCTGACAACACCACCACAGCACAACAAACCCAGGGCCTATGGATCCTGTTGACTCTGGACAAGGTAATACAGGCAATCACACCTAAAGATATCAAATAATATCTATTTGAAAGGTGCAATGTCAAGATACTGTTGCAAAATAAACTAAAATTGCATGTTGTTCACTCCTTTGGTCAGTTATGGAGGAGCACTTTGAGTTTCAGATTAGCAACACTGTTTATACTAATGCATAATAATCAGGATGATAAAAATCCCTGAAGCTGTTTGGTCTCAATTAAATATTGTGTTAAATGTTTCACTACCGGGTTGATCCTATAGCCAAGTGGTTAGGGCACATGTCTGTGTGTTAAACACAGAGCAGTGAGCACCTGGTTCAAATCCTGGCTGGTATCTGTGTGTTGTAACTTTCCAAAATGTCCTGTTCCTTCTGTGTCTTTATAAAACAACGTCGTCCCTTAATCGTGCGTGCAGACGTCTACAATATTGTTTAGATAGATACTTTATTGATCCCAATTTAGGAAATTATTTAATCACAGAAGCAGAAGTGTGTTCAGACATTAAAATACAATACTTAAAAAAGTGGAAAAGATAATTAACAATGAAAAATATTAACAATATAAACAAAACAATATAAAATATTCTGGATGATTAAAATCAAAAGTCAAAAATACTACAGGATCCAACATAGCATTATATTCTGGTATTTAGTGTATTCATAGCAAGTAATTCTTGACAGTGAATTGCATAGTCTTTTATAGTAAAGCTCAAGTCTTTCAATTGTGGTTTCGATACATTTCAATGATTTCTACATACTATTTTTCTAATGTCTTCACTCTCCCTGCAGGGCCAGACATATCACCCAGCTCCAAAGGACGACAACGCAAGAAAAATCCAAAATATTTGGATTATGAAACTGAAGAGGTGACCAATGTGCAACGCCCCCCGCGAAAAAGACAGAGCTCAGGAAGAGGAAAAGGAGCCGCTTCTGAGAAGTCTCCGGTAAAGAATGGAACTAATGAGGATACCACACAACAGACTGAAGATGGGGGTCAAGACGAAACTGACAAAACACTTTCAGAGTCGGACGAAACTCCTAAAAAGGCAGTGAGAGCGAAGAAGACTCCGGTCAAAAAGACTCCGGTCAAAAAGACTCCGGCCAAAAAGACTCCGGCTAAAAAGACTCCAGCTAAAAAGACTCCAGCTAAAAAGACTCCAGCTAAGAAAACGCCCGCCAAACAAACTCCCACCACTGATGAGAGTCTCCCAACTGATGAGGGTGGGATTGTAGAAGCTGTGCAGGAGGAAAATGGGACCCCAAAGCCTAAGAAAAAGAATGTGAAGAAGCAGCAGCCTGTAAAGGAAGTGGTGATAGAGGAACCGCCGAATGAAGCCGAGGAGGAGAGGACGCCGAGCGGACGCCGCAGGAGAGGAGCGGCTAAAGTGTGAGAGAAATACAGTTTAAACTTTATTACTTTTAGCAGGCGACACAGGTGCAAACATACATATACCCTTTAAAAATGTGCAATTGAGCATGTGTATAATGTATATATATATATAAATAGTAATATACATTTGCACATTTCTGCTTTAACTTCCTATGTTTGTATTCATATTCTTTCTATTTTATTTGATCTTTTATTGGACATTTTACCTCTGATTTTTATATAAATATCTTTATTTTATTTAGTATTTGAATTAAACATTCCCACTTTAAAGGGGACCTATCATGCAAAATGCACTTTTGTACGTCTTTTCTACATGAATATGTGTCCCCGGTGTTCCAGGGAACTCACCAAGTGTCAGAAAACACAACCCTCTCTATTTTCCTCCATACCCAAATCTCTAAGAAAGGGGCTGCAACGGATCTGATAAAAACTGATCCAGATTTGCACACTGTCCTGACGTCAGGACGGTGGCGCTACGGCTATTGGGCCAACTCCACCAATCAGGAGGAGACAGCCACGGCCATTGCCGTTCGAAAGCGCTGGAGACGCTGTAGTACATATGCCAGGCCTGTAGGTGGTGCTGTTCTCACAGAATCAACCCTTGCAAAAACAGAGCTAACATTTTTCAAATTGAGCGAAATGAGGCATGGCTAAAATGCATGATCTGTTTGGTATTTTGAAAAAAAAAAAGTATAAATATGCCTTATATAGGTATGGTCCTACACTATATTATTCAAATATAGCATGATAGGTCCACTTTAACGTCTTGTGTTTATATAAATAGTTTTTTTCCATTTTATTTTATTTTTTGTAGATTTGACTTAATTCCTTTTGTATTATACATATTTTTTATTTTATCTTATCTTTTATTGAATATCTTACTTGTACTTCTTATGTTTATTTGAATAGTTTTATTCCAATTTTATTTTATACATTTTCAATTAACCTTTTTTTATAGGAAAATCTCTTTTTATTTTTCCTGCAAATTCTTACTATTAAAATATTCTGATACACTCAAAAAGTAATTCATACGTAGAGATATGTATTAACATTTTTATGCTTTGACGATATTTTTCTATTTACTTCAATGAGAGCAATGAAGTCTTTTTATATTTAAAATAATGTAAACAATGTGTTTTACATAATTTCTCCAGGGCGTTGAAGTACCTCCACGACTTGGCTAAAGAAGAGCTCGGTCACCCCAACGATGATTTGGGCTCCCAGCCGGAGAACAAGGTCCCTCGCACAGAGCGGAAAGGTCTCAAAGGAAACAAAGGTACAGTGGAAATAAATTGATTTTTACAAATGTACCAGGTTCGTTTGTTGCATGTTTTATTTATTTATTTAATCGTTTATTTGGCAGGGACAATGCACAGTAATGAACACTTAAACATTAAAATGTGTCAAGCGTAACAGTGCCAGATTTAGCTTTGAGCTAATTTCCATTCCTCCGTCCTTCTCCCTCATTTCCAGCCTCTTACCTTCTCTGTCAAATAAAGGCAAGAACACACAAAACTTTTAATAAAATGTGTAAAAAGTCACACGCTCAGTTAAAGATAACTAGCTTTGTATATCATTTTCTAAAGTTAATAAGATACTGACAGCGGGGACTTAGGCGTAGGCTCCACGAGGACGAAAACGGGTTGAATCCGCATATTTCTCATGCGTATAGCCCTTTAAGCTCGACGACGCCATAACAGAAACGTAGAAACAGACCCCGCAAACGACAACGGGTCCAAAGGTGGATAGATCTGGGAACGGAGCGCTCTGGGGGGTCCAACGGGGCCGGTCATGCGTTTCATAGCCCCGCCTCTCCCCACCTCTGCTGCTCACCCCCGCAAAAGTACACTGCACACTGAATTCAGATTATTTATCTTTATCTCGATATGGACATAAACGCGAGTGAAGTCTAATCTGACAGGACGGAGACACGCAGCTCCTCCGGCTGTGAAGCAGCGGGAGCAAAACACACACTTCAAGTCAGATCATCACCCTTAGCTATTTTAGTTACCTCTCAAACTACCTAAACTAGTTATAAATATGTTTATTTTTACTGTCGGGTTTACTTACTGGATCAGCTGCTGCATGAGGAAGCATGAAGATTTAAACTTTAACACACATTGACCGGCGAAAAACTCTGCGCGGTTCCCTTGGCCCCCACCGCGGAGAATAAACAGAAGTGCAGCCATGACAACCATTCTTCTTCGCTGCTTTTGTGGAGGAAGTTGCTGCTTTTGTGGAGGAAGTTACAGCGCCACGTACAGGTTCGGCATATGTACTGCAGCTTTTCCAGCGGTTGGATGTAAACGGAGCCGTCTCGTGGAGCTTGACACAATCCGGTGTATATTGCGTGTGGTCGGAAGGTTTTTTGCGGTTGCGTTTGCGTTACTCCGATGCGTTTTGCCGTATTTGTTCTCGTGGAGCCGGGGCCTTATTTAAACTGCCGTAAGTCACTGTAGTTGCAAACAACACTGTATTCTTCACCTGAGTGTTTTCCTCAGGTATAAGGAGTTTAAGTGTATTGTTATCTTTTTGAGAGGCTAGCCTTTGTTTCTAGTCATTACATTACATGTTACTTGTTAGACACTTTTATCCAAAGCAACTTACATACTCAATACTGTGGACAATCCCCACAGGAGCAATTTGGGATGAAGTGTCTTGCCCAGGGACACAGCAACATGCTGACTATAGTGGGGTTTGAACCTGTGACCCCCTGATCCGAACACCTACGGACAACCCACTGCGCCACACGCCTCCTAGTCTTTATGCTAAGCCAATCACACACTGGCTCCATCTCCATGAGAAAGGAATAGATATTCTCTACTGTTTCCGCCTGACCAGGGCTGAGGGCGTCCACCCCGAGAGCGGGGGGGGGGGAATTCCGGCTCTTTTTAGTGAGCCGGATCATTTGGCTCGGCTCACCAGTGTTAATTTTGGCAGCTGTTTTTGATTTAGTCTTAGTCTTAGTCTTTAGACGAAAATGGTAATTAGTTTTAGTCACATTTTAGTCGACGAAAACTCAAAACGTGTTAGTCTAGTTTTAGTCGACGAAAACTCAAAACGTTTTAGTCTACTTTTAGTCGATGAAAAATTACATTTTAGTCAACTTTTAGTCCAAATGTTTTCTCTCTTTAAACCAATTCAGTTAAGCAAATACAGGTATCTGACATTGTAATCAAGGTGACAGCATCAAGTGTTGAAATTCGTAAAGCAACATTTCACTCTCTTAACACTTTACTTGTGTAATATCTAGGGATGGGTATCATTAAGGTTTTCTACGGTACTGCTAGTCTTATCAATACTGCTTATCGATCCGGTACTTTAACGGTATTCTTGTATTTACTTTTTGTTATTTTTTAAAGGAAAAAACTAACAAATTGTTAACCGAATTAATTGCTTTATTTAAAATGTGAAATAAATTAAATATATATAATTATGTTAAAATATTGTACTGTACTTGAGTAAAATGTTGAGGTACTTGTACTTTACTGGAGTATTTAAATGTTTTGCTACTGTGTACTTCTACTCCACTACAGTTCATAGTTAAATGGTGTACTTCTACTCCACTACATGTATTTAATACCTTTAGTTACTTTACAGATGTGGATGAATGATGTGAAATATAATCAAGTGTTAACTCAGACTTTAGTAAGTTCATAAGCTACCCTGCAGTATACAAAGTCCTTCAAACTAGCTGCACCTTTACCAGCTTTGAGAACACTTTAATGATCAATCATTATAAAACATATCATATATATTATTCTGAAATGGACCAATCTGCACAATGACTACTTTTACTGTCGCTACTTTAAATATATTTTGATGATCATACTTTGACTTGAGGAACTCTTCCTACACTATGGTATTTTTTTACTTAGCTACAAGATCTGAGTACTTCTCCCACCTCTGCACACCTGATGTGATAACGTTACTCATAATTGGGACAACAGAGCTACGAGTTAAGGAAGTCGAAAATTGTGCATTTCTCCGACTGAATATGACGCCTTTTGGCCGGCTGTTTGGACAGACTACTCTACTCGTGTCAACGCGCTAACGCGAAAACATGGCAAACGAGCTTTGTCCACATCGAGCCTTGTAGTTTCTCTATACTCTCTGAACGCTCCGTCCCCGGCAGATCTCTGTGTGCCGCTGCAGCGTGTCTGTTAGGCCCCGCCCCCCGCACACAGAGAGACACAGGGAGATCGCTCTTCTGGAGTGAAGAGAGCGGAAATAATGATATTGCAAGTTAGAAATGTAAGATGCATTTTGACAGACAAGACGGGCAATATGCTGCATTTTGAATGTCCGACAGTCCACCATTAACACCTTAGTCCCGTCTCGTCTCGTCAGCGAAAACTAAATATACATTTCGTCAAATTTTCGTTATCAAGAATCTATTTTTAGCTCGTTATCGTCTCGTCTTAGTCATGTAAAAAAGGTCGTTGACGAACATTTTTCGTCATAGTTTTCGTTGACGAAATTAACACTGCGGCTCACTAAGAAGAGCCGGCTCTTTCGGCTCCTAAACGGTTCTTCATGTTACCACAGTGTACCACGGAGCCTCAGTTTTGCCGCTGCGAGGCTCCGGCGCTCGCAGTTCACGCGCGTGCTCCACTAGCACCCCCCGTCAAGGCTCGCCGGCAGTACACTTTCCGTCACAGGAACACGCTTTGCTGGCGGCGAAAAGAATCCCAACAGACTCCTTTGCCCCTCCAACAGAGGGATGTCCTTGTCCTTTTTACTTTTTGTCATTTCAAGCGATAAAAACACTCTTTTTTAATTTTTTTTTGACGCCCTCGGCTCGAGTTCAGGGCGTTCCGAGCTGAATAAGGGCGTCAAATGATGGCAAGACGCCCCCCTGGCGGAAACGCTAGGTTTGGGAAAGAAAGCATGGAAAATGTATTCTTCAAATCCGTATTGCTGACATGTTAGATATCATAAAGCTTTGTGAGAAAAAGTGTGATAGTATCTAAATCATCAAGTGACATTCAGGACCAGTTCTGTTCCCCATTAGGTGTTTTCTCACAGCTCACCACAATTTGTCCTTCTCTATTTGAAATCCTGGTTCCAGGCTGAACGTTTAGCATTACATTACATTACATGTCACTTGTTAGACGCTTTTATCCAAAGCGACTTACATACTCAATACTGTGGGCAATCCCCACAGGAGCAATTTGGGGTAAAGTGTCTTGCCCAGGGACACAACGACAATGCTGACTGCAGTGGGGTTGAACCTGTGACCCCCTGATCCGAACACCAACACTCAACCCACTGCACCACACGCCTCCCTGCATCATGGTAGTGTAGCATTACGCTAAGATAAGAGGATGACGTGCATGTCCCAACACTTCCTGTCATGTAGTTGTGGGTCAGAGGTCAGAGGTCACAAATAGCAGGACAGTAAACGCTTAGCCCAGTTTGTCACTCCTCTGATTTAGGCCTCTTGGAAACTCTTAACATTTATTGTTTTTACCACCTGTCATCCACAAAAATGTTTTTTATTTCATGTATGTTATATCAGATTCCTATACTGTATCATACACATTTTGCACTGTTGTATATATGATCTCTTTGTGATTTTCTTTTTATACATATTTAATGAGAATTGTTGGTCAAAAGAGAACACATGTTTTTGCTAATGAATACATTTTGGATCTAGTATTGATATCGTTTGTCATTTTAAAGTGACAATAGACAACTTTCCCCCTCTTAACATTGTATTATAGTTAAATAAGTTCAAAATAAACGTGTCTATTGCCAGTTTAGTTATTTTAGACATACCATAATAACATTGTTTACCTATATCTCTCCCTTAACATTAATATCTCTTTGGCATTAATCACCTGCAGGGGGTAAAGGCAGAAAGCGGAAACGTGCAGACTCCGACTCTGCAGGAGACGAGGACTTTGTTCCAGATGTTGGTGAAGAGGAGGATGCTGAGGATATGGAAGATGAAGACGAAGAGGAATCGTGCTCGGACTCGGAGGCATTTGGAAGAACTCCAGGAACCTATAATGTGAACCGAGGCCCTGTAAGTCAAATCTGATGCTTCATTGTTATCGGTCATAATCACATTTGACCCAGAAACTAGTAAACAGCTTTTAAATAAAACAGCAACAGCAGCATCTTCTTTCATTTACAATCGAAAGCATTCATAACTGCGATAATGACAGATCTGAAAAAGAAAATCTTTATTATTTTAATTTAAAATGAAGTGTTCTTTGAGATACAACGTAGATATCTGCAGAACTGTAGCTGAAAAATGAGAAATAACATATGCACATATTAAAGTGGTGCAGTAATGAGTCCTATAACCCAGAAAGGAGTCATCTTACCACTTCCTGTTCCCTCGTCTCAAAGACAAGGTTTTTACTAACATGTTTTTGGTTGTTAGCCTGAAATAAGGTCTGTGGGTAATACCAGCTGAAGAGATTTTGATTCTACGACATAAAACACGCCAGTAAATACCCCACCGATGAATTGATAAACTGCGGTTGCTAACAAGTGTCTAAATGAGACGACTAACCGTCATCACGCCCAACATTAGCCTCCTTTAGCTTAGCGGTGGTGACGAGAAGTCATGTGACCGTGCTGTAGTTCCTTTATAGCCCAACATTAGCCGCCTTTAGCTTAGCGGTGGCGACGTGAAGTCATGTGACCGTGCTGTAGTTCCTTTATAGCCCATCATTAGCCACCTTTAGCTTAGCGGTGGTGAGGTGAAGTCATGTGACCGTGCTGTAGTTCCTTTACAGCCCAACATTAGCCGCCTTTAGCTTAGCGGTGGTGAAGTGAAGTCATGTGACCGTGCTGTAGTTCCTTTACAGCCCATCATTAGCCACCTTTAGCTTAGCGGTGGTGAGGTGAAGTCATGTGACCTTGCTGTAGTTCCTTTATAGCCCATCATTAGCCACCTTTAGCTTAGCGCTGGTGACGTGAAGTCATGTGACCGTGCTGAGGTTTTTTTCTAGCCTATAGCAATAACCTTAAATCCAATGGGGAAAATGCGATTGACTTTTTGCCAAAAGAGAAATTGCGATGCCATACAAAAAAGAAAATGCATCTATTCCTCACGCTTTACTACAATTTAATTTATCTGATCTCCCTTTCGTCTGCAGGGTGGCCCATATCTCAAAACCCCCAACGGACTCCACAGCGGCATCATGAAAACAGTTTGGGAGGCAACTGAGACCACCAAGAAATTGTAAGTAGCTAACAGCTAACTAACTGCTAACTAACTGCTAACTAACAGCTTCAGCCTGGTTTTGAATTGATTGATTGATTGAAAAGTTTATTAACAGCTTGTATATTGGGTACAGTACAGTACAGCTCAAAACATACAATTGTTAAGGGGATGCAGACCAGAGAAAGACTTTCGTCTTGTTTACATCAGGGTCCCCCATTTCCAATTCATCATATCATTTAAGACATATAAGACATATTTGACATACAGATGGCTTATTTACAATTTACATACAGGTGGTTTTTTACATACAGATGGCTTATTTACAATTTTCATTTTAGATTTCGTTCTAATACATCCTAACCGGACATTTAAGACATACCAAGTCTACAGATATACAGTTAGTAACAGAGTCTAAAATGCGAGTATATACATAGATGGGGGGGGGGAAGCTGTCCATTGTACGACAGGTTGAGATTTGTACCATTACCGGGGCCAGTTTTGCAATGCTTTCCCCCCCGAAGGTGCTCTTTAAGAGAGGTTTTGAAGGTAAGTATAGTTTTACTTTCCTTTACAGTTGTGGGAAGAGCGTTCCACCTTGATGTGGCATAATTGCGATATGTGTATTCCCCTTTTTTTGTGCCAAATCTGGGTTTTACATGATTTGTGGAGCTCCCTCTGGTGTTATGATCATGGTATTCCTTGACCTTTGGGAAGAATTTTGACATGTACATGGGTACCATAGAGGTGTAGTGGATCTTGTAGACCAGGCCCATTGCAAGTAGCTGTACTCTGTCGTCTACTCTAAGCCATCCTAGGTTGTCAAAGTGGGCAGAGGTGAGGTGGGTTCTAGATGAAAGGTCAAGCAGTAGTCTGACCAGTTTATTTTGCGATGTTTGAAGTTTTATTTTTAGCGCCTTGGAGGTGCTATGGTACCATGACGTGCAAGCATAGTCATAGTACCCTTGAATGAGTGCTCCTGCCAGAGTTTTCAGGGTGTTTTTGTTTACCAGAGAGGAGATCCGGTATAGGAATCTAGTTCTTTGATTGACTTTTTTTATTACATTGGATGCCATTTTGTCACAGGAGAGGTTTGCCTCAAGAATAGATCCTAGGTATGTAATTTCCTTCTTACTTGTGACAATAATGTCACCCACTGCAACTGAGAAGTCGTCGGATTTGCTGAGATTATGTTTCGAACCGAAGAGAATGGACTCTGTTTTACCCAGGTGTAATGATAATTTATTATCGGCGAGCCAGGTGCAGATTCTGCCGAGCTCGGAGCTGAGGGTTTTTTCAACCTGCAATCTGCTCCTGTCAGAGACCAGCAGGGCTGAGTCGTCCGCGAACAGGAACAAGTTGCAGTCACATGCTGATGACATGTCATTTGCATAAATTAGGAACAGTAACGGACCTAATATGCTTCCTTGTGGAACACCACAGCTCACTGGGAGGGGGGGGGGACAGAGTACCGTTTACCTCCACCATCTGTTCTCTCCCCTCCAGGTAGGATTGCATCCAGCTCACCGATAGTTTATCAAAACCAATTGCTTTTAGCTTGTCAATCAGAATGGGGTGATTGACAGTGTCGAAAGCCTTTTGTAGGTCCAGCATCACCATGCCGCAGTATTTACCCTCGTCCACCTCTTGTTTGATGTGGTCGTTCAAATAAAGAAGGCATGTGTCAGTGGAGTGGGATGTTCTAAAGCCAGATTGAAATTCATAGATTAGTTTCTTTTCTGCGAGGTACTTTTCGACCTGTTCATATACTATTTTTTCCATGACTTTCGAGATGGAGGTAAGTATAGAAACAGGGCGGTAGTTGCCTGGGTCCAATTTGCTGCCCTTTTTGTGCAGGGGGGTTACTCTTGCAATTTTGAAGTCTTTGGGTACTTTTCCCTGTTTTATGGAGAGGTTAATTATGTGAGCTATGACTGGTGAGATGGCGGTTGCTGTGTCTCTGAGGAATTTGGAGGGGATATTGTCGTGGCCAGTGCCTTGTTAGGTTTGAGGGCGCTCAGTTTAATGAGTACCTCTGCTGTTGTTACCCTTGCTAGACTGAAATCATCTTTGCGTACCCCTAGGTTTTTGTAGTAGGTCATGATGTGATCTACTCCAAAAAGCCCTGAGTGGGAGGGTAATTTATTTACAAGAGTTGTGGCTATGTTTGTGAAAAAAATGTTCAAGTACTTGGCCACATCCAGTTTGTCTGTGATGAGCCTGTTATCTGTCTTTATGTTTAAGTTTGAAAATCTCGTTTTGAGTTTTTACTGCAGCCAAGCTGGTTATTGAGTAATTTCCAAAGTTCACGGGGTTTATTTTTGTTTTCCTCAGTTTTGTCATTGATGAAATTCTTTTTGGCAGTTTTGATCATGGAGCTTACGTCATTTCTTAGTCTGTTTCTTTCAATTTTTAGTTCAGTCACGTGGGCCTGGAGTTCACTGCTCGTGCTTTTGGAAAGCATTGACTGACTTTTATGCCAACAGAGAATGTCACAGCTACCTTCCTTTGTTTCTATAAGCCAATTAGGACGCCTTTCAAAACAGACAATTTGAATGCATTGTCTTTCAAAAGTTACGTTTACTCATAGTTGTAAATCTGTAAATCATAGTATATCTGTTATGTTATGAGGTCCAATGTTTGAACGGTTTGAAACGGTGTCTTGAAGGCATCTTCCACACAAGTTGCCCATATCTGTGTCCTTTAACCTGTTAAACCCGAGAGACCCCGGTACCGGGGCCCTCCCGCAACATCTTGCAGGAAACAGTGTCTGAGGGCATGTTCATTTAATAAACTGAATGTTTTATATCCATGTAACGGAAAGAAACTCATCTAACTGATCATTTATTTTATTTTTTCCAAAAAAACAACACAATGCTAACGCTGAGCCTCTGAATTAGCAAAGAGCGAAAAATGCTAACAGATTTACTGCACCAAAACTCACTCATAAAACCTTATTATTTATCTTTTCTGCACATCCAATCCATCGATCTGATCATGAGATGACACAGAATCGATGGGTACATACATTATCACTCTATGATACGAACTCGCGACTTTATAAACAAAAACAGACATCAAAACATGTGGCGCTAGGTAGCTAAAAACGCTAACATGGCTTACCTGTGTCGTAGTCTGGTCAAAAGTGGTCTTCAAGGCATTAAAACGATAAAAACGCTGCTGAAGTTAATCCATAGGTTAATCCAATGTGTCTGTGTCCTGTTTGAAATGATTTCTGATAATCCATAAGCAATAAAACTGCTTTTCCGTTTCCAGATGTCAGAGCGAGAGATAGGTTCGCTCTGATGCAAAACTGCATGCGCGAAGCCCCCACCATTGGCTCTAACGGTCAGAAAGAGATTTCATTCGTCAAAATCGACCAAGGGGGGCCAGAGATATTTACCAAAAAGCAATGCAATTTCTCCATAGGATTTAGGAAAAGAGCTGTAAATAAGGTCTGTGGTTGAGACACATTTAAGAGACGGATCACGTTTTGTTCTACGACATTAAATCCATCAGCAGTGACCCCACTGGTGATTTCTGAAGAGTTTACGTGTCTGAATATGGATCTTAAGTTGGCGTGACGTTGAAGCAGCGACCCTGCTGTAGTTCCTATAGCATAACGTTAGCATTTTGCTTCTGGTGACTAGATTTACGATTAGAAAATTATAAAAGTAGGGTAGACGTGATCCGTCTCTTAAATGTGTCTCAACCACAGACCTTATTTCCAGCTATTTTCCAAAAAAGAACCAGAAGGAGTTTACTTCCGGGTTTTAGGACGCGTCTCTGTGGCACTCTATTGAAGTCTTTTATATCCCCTTGACTACAGAGGTCGCCACTAGGTGACAATGTTATTCAACCTTGTCACAAAAAACGAAAGACTGGCTCTAACGAAGAATATTATTAATTATATGATTTGTACCTTTATGTTGTGCATTGCTCAAGAAATGCTAAACTAGGATTGAAAAGATATGCAATATATCTATATTGTTATATGACACTTGATATCGTAATATTGTGTTATCTTTTCCTGATTTTAAATGCTGCTTTTAAGTAAAGTCATGTACTTTTCTGAATTCACCACACTGTTTTATCATTAGTCATTACATCCACATTACTTATGATTAATGAATTGATTTGAAAGCATTAATGGTAAACCCTACAGTTTAGATATTGAGGGATTTGATCGTAAACATTTCGGATATTTCATTTTTGTTGATCTCTTTCAGCTTTAATGCAAACATGCAAAACAAATTATCATCACAGTGTCATTACACTTAATCGAAGAAACATCAACCCTGCAGCAGTCAGTTATTAAGATTCACTGATGTGTCAAACAGCTCTGCAAATAAACATTTAGAGACGAGCACGTAGTAACCACGGCGCTGGTTATCTTCGGTGTGTGTTTGAGTGTGTGATGTGTGTGTGTTTTCAGCCGGGAGGAGCACTACAGCAGCTGGGAGTTCCCCAAGTGGATCCCCTCCTCCAGCGACTGGCACCTCGTTCCTCAGAGGTAGGTCACCTTTGACCTGTGTTTGTTATTAGTGAGAGGATACAGGTTTTTTTTTTTAAAGCAATGGACATTTTAAGTGAAATTGTGTGAAATAGTTTGACACTAAGAGTTAGGCTTTTCCCCTCTGTTGATTCCTTTAAAATCTATTTTCTTAAGACAAGTGTTTTCATTATGAAGAATATGGCCATCATTAGTTTTTTTGATCAGACATACTTTTAATGTCATCTTTTTATTAAGCACTATGGTCATGATTGTGTTTTTAAAGCTGCTCTATACATTAACTTGACTTTTCTACACTAATGGATGGTGTGAAGTCATCAAATTAAGCTCATAGTCATATATTAAAGTTGTATTTTTATTGAGAACAAGTTGAAATTATGCACTTGAAAGGTGCTTTATACAGAAACAATGGCCATTGCAGTATTACTTCTTTCAATTTGACGGATCTTTACGTTATTTTATGCACAAATGTCTAATCCAAGCAGGCCTTTTTAGACTAGTTCTCAAAGCTAGAGTATTTTTCCGAGCAAACTTGTAAAGATGTGGTTGGTTCATTTGCTCTTTTGTTCTGAGGCACAATGTTTTATCACTGTACCAAAACCTCACCAAAATGTGAAATGATTACTAGTCTGATTTAAGTAGATGTTTTAGGTATGTAATAATCCAGCCATGTGTTGTAGGAACTCTTAATACAGCATCACCAGTCGTCTGTTATATTTACGTTGTTATTTCTCGTGTGTTATTCAGTGACGTGGAGAAGTACCTTCCTCAGGAGCTTCAGTCTGCGGCCTTCAGAGTGTCCAGAGACGGCCTCAGTGAGGAGGGGGAGACGCCTCTGCAGAGACTCAGCAGGTCACACTGAGCCTCATATTACAATATTACATCACATGTCTTAACACAAAATATACTACTTAGCATTCAAAAATATCTACTTTATTGCTTTACTATACACATACTTAACGACTCTGGCTAAAGATGCGTCAGAAAAAACCTCATTCCACAATTTCTGACTCCTTAATGCTGAATATATTTAATTATATCAATGTTTTAGTTCCATTTAATTTCAGATGTGATGCAGTGTGTTAAGACGGCTATCAAAATATATATTTATATTAAAGGGGACCTATCATGCAAAATGCACTTTTGTACGTCTTTTATACATGAATATGTGTCCCCGGTGTTCCAGGGAACTCACCAAGTGTCAGAAAACACAACCCTCTCTATTTTCCTCCATACCCAAATCTCTAAAAAAGGGGCTGCAACGGATCTGATACAAACTGATCCAGATTTGAACACTGTCCTGACGTCAGGACGGTGGCGCTACGGCTATTGGGCCAACTCCACCAATCAGGAGGAGACAGCCACGGCCATTGCCGTTCGAAAGCGCTGGAGACGCTGTAGTACATATGCCAGGCCTGTAGATGGTGCTGTTCTCACAGAATCAACCCTTGCAAAAACAGTGCTAACATTTTTCAAATTGAGCAAAATGAGGCATGGCTAAAATGCATGATCTGTTTGGTATTTTGAAAAAAAAAAAGTATAAATATGCCTTAATATAGGTATGGTCCTACACTATATTATTCAAATATAGCATGATAGGTCCACTTTAAGCTTTCTTGTTAAAACAATTGAGCATTGAGTGAGAAGTTTTTCATTGGACAGACACTAGAGAATGATTATATTTGCCTATTCCACTTTGATGCATTTTGTCTTTTGTAATTTTGCTCTCTTAATTGGTTATATTATATAACATAGTATAGTATATATTTTGGGTTTATTTTGTTCTCCTTAAGCCTCTTTTTATGGTAAACAATTAAGGTAAATCAAGGCTTTCTTGTGAAGTACGCTAAAATAATCTATTGAAGATTTGATCCAGATTATTGTTTATATAGGGTTGACATTAGGAGATTTGAAATAAAGTAAGATGTATGTTTGAGTGTTAGTTCAGCGATATTTAAAAAGTCAGATTTGGCGTTTTCAAGTGAAATCCTCCTTTTTTTTATTTATTTTTGAAAGCCTTTGTGTTTGTGTTCCAGGTTCTCTGCGGTGCCGGCTCACTCGGAGCGCTGGGACATGTTTCTGTTTGCGGGGGGGCCGGTCTGGGCCATGGAGTGGTGTCCGACCCCTGATGGAGCTCCGGCCTCGCAGTACCTCGCTGTTTCCTGCCACCGAGGGATGGACGACCAGCACGTTTTCAACAAGACGTACGGAGGCCCCGCCCTGCTCCAGCTGTGGGACCTCGGCCTGCTGAAGTACAACTGCAGGTAAACAGGAAGTGGATAACTGAAAGTGATTCTTTTTAAGATTAACGTTTGACGGTTTTTCTGAACAATCGACTGATGCTTTTGTGTTGAATAGGCTTTGTCTCTGTCAGAGTTTATTTTGAGGTAGTTGCAACAATTTGACGACCTATTAATTTGTCTTGGATTCATCTTTAACGTTATTTTTCATGCAAAACAGTTTTTTAAGTCTCATTTATGGAAATTTGCTGATTTCTCGGTTTTATATCAAGAAAAGTCGTCAATATTTGGGGTGAAAAAAATGCTGTTTTTTCACTCTCCTCTATGTTGAGATGTGCTGCTTTTCTTTCTGAAATCAATACAATTGACTATCTTTTGGGTTTGGACTGACAAAATAAGACATTTAAAAACATCACCTTGGACATGGGGAAACTGGGACGGCCCTTTATCAAATATAAAAATGTTTTCTATTCATCCTCATTGTTTGTCCTCTGTCTCCACAGACCTGAGTCTCCTCCAGCTCTGTCCTACGGCCTGGCTCAGGACAAAGGCTTCATCTGGCAGCTGAGCTGGTGTCCTGCAGGAGGCTGGGAGCCCCCCCTCTGCGGCAGGAAGGTGAGTGCTCCTCACTGTGATGGAAAACTTTACCTTTCAAGATAAAGCACTATAATAACACCTATCAGCTGACGCCATCAAGGATTCAAGGCTTTTATTGTAATGTGTACATAGCTACAGTGTAGATATGTCAATGAAACTCTGAGGTCACAGGCTCCTCCAACAGTGCAACACAATAAAACGGATAATAGTGCAAGTAAATCAAATCAAATCAAAATCAAATCAAAGTTTATTTATAAAGCACATTTAAAAGCGATTTTTGGTCGGGCCAAAGTGCTGTACATGTAATAAATACTACAATCATAAAAACACATTACTACAATCACAATAAAAGACAATAAATTACAACAGATATATAAAAAAACACAGGGAAAAGTCAGGAAGTCGTGCTCCGCTCTGACTAAAAGGCCAGTCAGTAAATACAATAAAATAGAATAGAATAGAAATAGTGCAAGTATAGTCTATATACAAGTAATTTGAATATGATATATTAGATAAACAGGCACGAATAGGGAGACAAAACACTGAGAGCACAGCAGCCCAAGCTCAGTGAGGGCAGTACAAACTGATAAACAAACTGATAAACAAACTGATAAACACACTGATAAACAAACTGATGAACTGGGTCAAAGTTATGGGCCTAGGAAGATATTTCCCCAACACTCATCATGATTTTTATGAGGCTAGTCCATGCATATTTGGCTCGGATTGCTTCGTCAATGTGTGACAATTAAAAAAGAAATATTTATTTTAAGCTTTCTTGTTAAAACAATTGAGCGATAAATAGACAGACACTAGAGAACGCTTATATTTACATATTCCACTTTGATGCATTTTGTCTTCTGTAATTGTTCTCTCTTAATTGGTTATATTATATAACATAGTATAGTATATATTTTGGGTTTATTTTGTTCTCCTCAATCCTCTTTTTAAGGTCAAACATTAAGGTAAATCGAAGCTGTCTTGTGTTCGACGATAAAATAATCTATTGAAAATGTGATCCAGGGTATTGGGTTAATATGTTCTAATTATCTTCCACCAAAGGCTCCTCTCCTGCCCAGACTGGGTCTCCTGGCTGTTGCTACCTCCACCGGTGTGGTCACCATTTACAGCCTGCCCCACCCTGAGGCTCTGCTCTCCAACAACAAGCAGGACAACTCTGGTGAGTCTGGATGTTACACTTCAGATGTGTGTACAGTATGTATTCAAGCCTATTAGCATGGCAACAGTGACAATGGGTTATAATTCATTTCATTTATACAGAGATGGCAAAAGTACACACATCCTTTACTCAAGTAGAAGTACAGATACTCGTGTTTAAAAAATACTCTGGTAAAAGTAGAAGTACTGACTAAACTTCTTAACTCAAGTCAAAGTAAAGAGGGCTTTGAAATGTACTTCAGTAGAAAGTACCCATAACTAGCAGCTGTTTTAAAGAGTACCTGACCTCCCTTTATATTAATAGAACAATAATGTCATTGTTAGCTAATGAATGTTTCCATGCTGAACAACGGCAACATGACAACGTTTTCATTGGTCCCTCTTCTTTAGAGAAGACCAGGAAATGATGGATACACGGATCGTGTTCAAATCAATAGGCACGCAATGACTCTAAATAATAATGATCACGCCACCAAACACACATTCAAACTAAAGGAACCAGCCTGTTTGGAAAATGTGAGAAGTAGAAAGTACAGGTATTTGGGTTCAACATGTAAGAAGTAGAAAGTACAGGTATTTGTGTTCAAAATGTAAGAAGTAGAAAGTACAGGTATTTGTGTTCAACATGTAAGAAGTAGAAAGTACAGGTATTTGGGTTCAACATGTAAGAAGTAGAAAGTACAGGTATTTGGGTTCAACATGTAAGAAGTAGAAAGTACAGGTATTTGGGTTCAACATGTAAGAAGTAGAAAGTACAGGTATTTGTGTTCAACATGTAAGAAGTAGAAAGTACAGGTATTTGTGTTCAACATGTAAGAAGTAGAAAGTACAGGTATTTGTGTTCAAAATGTAAGAAGTAGAAAGTACAGGTATTTGTGTTCAACATGTAAGAAGTAGAATGTACAGGTATTTGTGTTCAAAATGTAAGAAGTGGTCAGAAAAATAAGTAGTGGAGTAAAGTTCTGATACCCGAAACATGTACTTAAGTACAGTAACAAATTATTTGTACTCCACTACTTCCCACCCCTGCCTTTATCATACTAGGATTCAGAAAGGCCGTATCCAGAAAGTGAGTCCTGTGGTCAGCAGAGGGCAGCGTTGTCTCTCTAAATGACTGAACTCAGTATGTTTTCTACCTGATCTCTGAGTACAGGACTGCAGTAAAGCCTCAGAGGTGTTTTTGGATCATGGCAGCATAAAACTGAACAGCTGGACTATGGATCTGTTCACATCTCACTGAACACAACACAAGCTTTGCTGCAGTGTTTTGCACACCTCTTACTTTCTTCATACAGCTAAAAAGGACAAATAACACAAACATGTAGTTGAACAAATAAGGACAAATCCACCTTTTAATGTGTTTCTGCATCAACTCAGAGACTCATGTTCTCTGATTACTATGAGGTGAAAATAGAGGCATAGTGACTTTGAAGCATCATGACATCCCTGAGAGTGATTTGGTGTAAGTTGGGTCCATTTGTTGACTCAGACATTAGGAGTTTCAAAGCAAACACATTTGATATCCAGAGAACAGGTATCCCAAATTCAGGGGGAGGTTGAAAGAAGAGTCAAAACCACTTTAAAGGTCCTTGTATTGACGAATGTAAATCACCATTTTTAGTAATATACATTGTTTGATCATGAATACAAAGGGGGAATTGTAGAGGTAGAAGAAGTATCTACACACAGATAACCAGATTACAAATAGGATTGTGGAAAGGCATTGTTTTACAACTAAGATTATTTTCATTTCGATTAATCTGGACATGGTTGTCTCAATTAATTGTTCCATTGTTCATCTATAATAGGTCTAAATATAGGTAAAAATGACCATTACAACTCCTTAAAACCCAGGTTTCTAATAGCTGGTTGGATCTGACCAACATCCAAAAATCACAAGCTATTCTGTTTACTATTTTAATGTCACAAAACACAGGAAATATCCAAATCCTCTCAACAAAGAAGCTAGAATCAATGAATATTTTACA